CTCTGCTTCTCGCCCTGGTCCGGTCGCGTCCTTCACACCACCGATTTTGTCACGCACTTAACTTCTGCTCCCGCTTCCGCTTCCGCTTCCGCTCTCGATCCCACTGCCGGTCTCTCTCTCGCTCCCGTGCGTCTGCTGACGCGAAGTTTGTTCCGCTGGCGGCTGGCCGTCTGGCAAGCGCGCATCGACGAGCCGCTCGCCAGCGCCTGGTGGGACCTGCCCAGCTCTTGGGCCGCCGGGCGCCTGGGCCATCGGCTCCTTCGACTCGGCCCCGAGGGCGCCGTGGAGAACATCACCGAGTCGGAGGGCTGGCACGCCGCCTCCCTCGACAGAGCCGGCATGCTCCGTCTCGCAGGTCAATAGCCCCTTTGCCCGTCACCGCTCACACCCACCTCACCCGGCTCTTGGCCGACTTCTCTCAACGTTGGCGGCGGTGGCCATTCGCTTTCTCTCCTCTTTTCAACCTTTGCTCCACTTTACTTCGTTTCACCCAAACAAAACTGCTTCTCTTCTCTTCTCTTTTCTTCTCTTCGACTCACTTTATCGCCCTCGGTTTTAGGCAAGTGGAATTTGTGCACAGTCATCTTCTCATCAGCTGACCTGTCCTGCCACCCCCTGGAAGTATCCACTCTCTTGCCACTCTGTCAGCTTGCATTGGAGCATCTCTGCACATTTGCCTTTAGCCATGTCTGTTGCTTTTTATCCCTTGCACGTCAGCACAGACCAGCTCCATTCACGCCCCAATTCATCATGGGCCAGTCTGCCACACGAACCGCTAGAGGCGACCACATCTTTCAGCCATCAATTCGTTCGCTCACATCGCACCAGAGGCACCAAACAAAGTTGATTTTTGAGGAATTGCTTCGGTGACAACGGTTCAAATACTCCTGACTCCAAGCAAAATGTGTGAGGAAGAGATTTCATGGTCGACTGCACTCTCTTCTCCACCACCCGTCGTTTAGCATTGCCTTCCTCGACACATCCTCTGACGACTATCGACCTCACCATCTCTTCATCACACACTGGCACTCGAAACGGAGGTGAGTGAATTCTTTTGTCAACAAGATCCATTATCACTCCAAGTTGTGTAAGATGCGTTCTATTTCTCCTCAATCAAACGGATGGGCCCCACGATGCCTTTGAATGGCTTGTGCTGAAAGTTGCGTCTCGTGTCGTTCGCGAAAACCCGTAACAGCATTGCTCGAGCTTACTTCCATTTCGAGTGGAAGTGTTGGGTGAAGAGATTCGAAGGTCGAAGGTTGCCTCGC